GAGGTCTCAAATTTATGATGGTTTTAAGTACCAGTGTAAAAATTCTGCCCAAACCACAGCACCTTTGATGCACATAATCTGGACAGCAACATGTTAATTGTCTAAGAGTGGTAACTTTGGTTCTAATTAAAGACTGAATAACTAATACAAAGAGAAAATGGCTCAACCAGCCTTTACAAATATTTCAAGGGGAAATGGAGCTGTTTAATTAGGGATTAGATCAGAGCCTCATCACAAGGAATGGGGACAACTACAGTCTTTCAGCTAGGGAATTCATTCAAGGCAAGGTTCTGGTGAGACTTACTGTTTGAACAAGATGTTGTACTGGGGGCACATGCCTAAGCTCTGCCGGATGGAGTCCATGTGCATCTGGATGTCCTTACCACCAACTAGTACTGTTCCAGATGTAGGTGGGAACAGACCAGTGAGGACTGACCTAGACAAAGAGCATGCGGGAAAAAATAAAATTATTTTAATCAACTATTATCAAGCTGTTCATTTAAACGAATGGAAAAAGTAGTGTCAGATCAATTTCATATAAAGTTTTTGGGGTGCCACTAGGTGGTGCTTGAGGCTTACATATGCTTTTGGAGAAATGCACATTGAATATAAATGTATGGATACGCAGACAGGACCTAGTTTTGGGAATCTCAAATAGTGTTATAAAAAAGTTCTCTAAGTCAGCAAAAACCTCGCATTTGCAGATTCTCAAATAAAATAGAGAAACCACACATTACTAATTATGCTATTGTACTGTGAGAGGAATATCAAAAGACTTAGGATGTAAGGTGAATATTTCTCTGGACCCTCATCTAGCAGATTTATCTAGCAGAACACAGTCTACTTTTTAATTATTTTACTTTCCACAAACAACTTTACATGAGGTTTAATGAGACTGGAAGGCAGAACATGCAATACTAGTACTACTGTGGGATTTCTGGTGAATTGATAATGGTATGCTATCAAAAAGAGCTTATCTGTCTTCTGAACTGCATGAAAAAATCATTTAAGAGGAAAACCATCTGGGAAACAACTTTCTAAAATTACCCTCTTAAAGGCCATCTTGAACAAGATGACTGTACATTGCCAGTGAAAAATCAGGAGAGAGGGTACAGCCCAGATCTCACTGGTACCCTGATAATGATCAAAAAGAGCTTTATCTGTCTTGTGGACTGCATGCGAAAATCATTTAAGGGGAAAACCATCTGGGAATCAACCTTCTAAAATTACACTCTCAAAGGCCATCTTGAACAATATCACTGTACATTGCCAGTGAAAAATCAGGAGAGAGGGGTACAGCCCAGATCTCACTGGTAGCCCATCCCAGAGCTCTGGAGCTCTGACTGAAAAAGCCCTGGAATTAGCTACCATGGTCCTTACTCTCCCACAAGAGGTGATGGAGAGGAGAAGTTGGCACAATGAATATAGCTGGCGCATTTTTAAAAAAATGTTAAAAGAAAACACTGGAAAAATCAGGAAAGGATGAAACTGTGTTCAGGGTCAGCAGCACCCAATCAGGCCTCTCCTTCCCTCCTGGTGCCTTCCATGCCGTGTCTGGTAGTCTTACAGCTAAGCAGGACACTGCTACTGCCAGGTCCAACACGGCACAAGCCTTCCCTCCTCCTCACTCATCTGGGGAAGATTCACCCAGGGAGGAAGACACAGTGTGGACCTTGCAGTGTGCCCAAGGTTCCCCAACAAGAAGCATGCCTTAATGTCCCTCTCAGAAGCTGCAGGGCAGTGGTTCCCAGGGGGTCCCCAGTGAAGCAGCAGGCTCAGGGTAGCAGGAGGAACAGAAGCCTTAATGGAGGCCAGCTGTCAGTGTGGCAGCCCTCGCTACCACCAACAATAGCCCAGCAGGGGCAGTCAAAGCCAAGGACCCCAGCCTAGCAGAGCACCAAGGAGGCCATGAAGCAATGGCCCAGCAGAAGTCCCTACAAGGAAGGGGGCCAGAAAGGCAAGGGAAAGGGCCAGCCAGGTTGCAGGAGGCCATTTAAGGGAATGGTATTCCAGCCCCTAGCTGAGGTGGTAGCATAGATGGTGAGGGTGGGCCGGGGTGGGTTGGGGCTAACTGAAGGACTAGGAGGATGAATTAAGGTAGGCTCCAAAACCAGGAAGGAGGACGTGCTTGCATTGGCTAAAGGAGCAACCTCCTGGAGAAGAAGAGGGCAGACTTGGGTGCTCTAACCATTGCTCTTATCCCCTTCACCCTTGTTTTGAGGCTCAGGGAGTCTCAAAGAGGTGGGGCATGATGGGGAGGAAAAGGGGGCAGTGCTGGGAAGGGAGAACCCTCACAGATGCCAGTATAATAATTCCCTTGTACAAGTCTCTGGTGTGGCCATATTTAGAATACTGTGTACAGTTCTGGCTGTCAGATCTCAAAAAAGGATACCGAAGACTGGTGAAAGAACAAAAAAGAGCAACCATGGTATTGGAGATTACAGGATTGTAGCACCTGCCCTATGAGGCAAATGTCAAGCATCAGGAGATTTGTAGTTAGGAAAAGAAGTGAGGGGGGGGGGGTGGCCTGACAAAAGTCTACAACTGGAGGTCACTCTATGAAACTGGCTGGAGGTAGATTCAAGACAGACAAAAGGAAGTACTCCTTCTTTCAGTGGGCGGTTGACAGAAGATGTGGTGATGGTCACTGGCTTAGATGAATTTTAAAAAGGATGGATAGATCCATCAAAGATCGGTCTATGGTTGGCTATCCAAATGGGACCTCCAGCTTCAGAGGCAGAATACTTCCACTGTCAGATGCTGGTGATCAGTTAGCAGGTTATGGCTGCTGTCTTCACGCTCTGCCCATGGGCTTCCCAGTGGCGTATGATTGGCCATTGTTGGCAACACAGTGATGGACTAGATGGACCAATGGTTGGATTCAGAGTGGCTGTTCTTATGTTCTTATTACACAGTGTGCAGGTAGAATAGGAAGTGTATTTTTTAATTTATTAATTAGATTTCTACCCTACCCTCCCGCCGAAAGAAATATTTCATTAGGCAAACTGGACAATACGAACAATGGTTACATGTAGGGGGAAAAGGGTACAAACTCAAAAGGTTTGATGAAATGCTGTCCTTGAGGGACATACTAGTAACTTCTTAAGGCAAACCCAACCCTATCTGTCCTTTATAATGTTTTATGCAAGGAAGAGGCCATTTGCAGGGAAGAAGACATTTGTAGGGAAGAACTGGTTGGCAAAGGATGGATACTTAACCCATGTCCTGCTTGTTTAGTATCCCCCCCAAATGCCTCTGCTTGATCATTTAAAAAGCTTTTCCCCCCTAAATGGTCTCCAAGAATGGAAGTTATGAACTAGGTGAAAAAAGCTGGGGAGGGGATTGCACAGTGTTTGCAGAAGAGTACTGACATGCAGAAGGAATTAAGCATCTGTCCCTCTCACGCATTCTCCCCTTGTAAACCCACACTCTCTGTTATCTCAACAAAGGTGGGGGTTAGACCACATGTGTACACAAATAACATCTGGTTTGCCCTAGGAAACACAGCCCAAAAGGACATAATGGATGACCCTTGTTTCAGAATCCCCTTAGTTCAAGGAAAGTTTTTTTTTTTAAAAAAGATACAGATCTGCAATTTTTGAATTTTTGACCTGGCATCAGAATACAAGGGACTCAGGAAGAAACCTAGGGGCAACAGGAATAGAAAGCCAAGGAAATGTTTGTCCAGACCCCTGAGAAACAATGCACCTGCAACTCTCACAGGCCCAAAAGGCATATCAGCTTTGCTGACCATTGCTTTTTCAGCTCTTTCATACAAAAGGCTCCCTATCTCTCTCAGCATATTTAAAAAGACCTGACCCCAGGAAAGTGCTTCTCTTCCAGAGACATCTGCTTTTGCTTCTCCTTTTACTTCCACTTTTATAAGAAAGGCATTTCCTTCTTTCTAAGGTCCTGCCTGTTTTAGAACACTCTTTGTAAATGTTCTCTGAAACCTATGTGATCACAGGCGGGAGTGATCAAACTTTTTTTATTTCACACTAGTTTAGATAGGATAGCAAGAGTAGGAAATGCCATTCACTATTGTATCCAAACTCATAATTGTTCCAGAGAACAAAATATATAACTACCTACATTTTATAACACATGCCTGAGATTGAGACTTGGATACCAAAGAAAACCAATCCCGAGGCCAACTGGTCATTCTATGCAAGAATGTGGATGAACAGACCTGCACTCAGTTCAAAGGACTGTCATGACACTCTTTGTTTATGTTGTGATGGAACAGGCCTGCTCTGATTCACAGACCCTGTTCTGCCAGCCCCCCTCCTTGGCTTTCGCCAGTTCCTGAAGGGTGCTATTCCACTTCCTTCCACAAGGGTACGCTGCCACCACTGTCCTGTTGGGGTCTTCCTGCCAGGAAGGACAGACTCCTGACACCCCTTCTCAAACGGAGAGCCTGCCTCTGGTCTCCTGCTACCCAGTGCCTGGTTACCACAGAGACCAAATTCCTTCGAGGGGGGGGCTGGAGGATTAGCAACGGGTGTTTTGGCTGCTTGCTTGCCCCCTTCCCGGGACTCCCTTCTTAAATTAGCATGGTTTAGGGTGGTTGGGGAAACTATGTGGTCCAGAGAACACTACCAGCTTTAAAGAGTAAAATATTTATTAAAAAGAGAAAAAGGTTACAAAAATACACAGCATCCGATCAGCAACCAGAAGAACAAAGAAAAGTTGGTTATAATCACATAATCTGTCCCTGGCTCTAAAACCTACTCTACTAATGTTGAAATATAGCAGGAAATTTCAAGCTTAGTAAATTGCAAACTGTTCCAAATGTATCTCATTACCTCAGCTCTCTGCAGCCAGCGGGCCAGGTCACATGGCCAGTGGCCCCTGCCCTGCAGAACAGAGCTCAGCAGTCTGTCCTCTTCCAAGGACCAGCACGAAGAGGCCCTCCCTCCTGGGAGCAAGCACTTTTATTAAACCTCTGACTCCATCCATTCTACACCACACTCTCCCCCCCCCCCTGCCACCCTGGTGCATCCTGAGAGTTCTCCTTGCAGGCATTCTGGGAAATCTCCAGGAGTCACTTGGAGATTCCTAACATCAATTCCCTCTGTTCCTTTGCAAGTCAAGCCATTTTCACTATGGCTGGTCATTGATCTATCTTTCCTGTCCTTCCAGAGAGAAGAGGAAAAAAACAGGAATACTTTAAAAACTCAGAGTGAAAACTCGGGGGGGGGGGGTTTTTCCACCTTTTGTGTAATGTAAAGTGGGGTGTATCAAAAAGAAAACAACCACTAAACCAAACAAACACATGCATCTTTTACAGGGTGATGTAGTGATTAGAATGTTGGACTAGGAGGAGGTGGATTCGAACTCATATATTCAAATCTCCTCTCAGCCACAAAGCTCACTGTGTGACCTTGGACCAATCACTCTCTTTCTCTCTCAGCTGAAACACCAACAGAGTTGTTGTGAGCATAAACTAGAAGAGAGGAGACCTTTGCCAGGGTACTGAGCTCCTTGAGGGAACAGTGGGATAAAAATGTGATAAATCAATTCAGGAATACATAGTTGTTCTCAATTAGGTGTACTAGGGTTGCCAAACCCCCCACTTTGGCAGGGGTCCCCTGCTTTTGGGGGGCTCCTACGGGCAGCGGGGATGTCCCCAATGTGACATCATCATGTCGGGGATGGCCCGCCCCCTCCAGGAACGCCCCCCCCAAAGTCCCCCGCTGGGGGGAAGATAGGACTTGGCAACCCTAAGGTGTACTCATATATAGTTAGTTTGTTTCCAGGTTCTAGAGTTCTGTGGATGTGGCCCTTGGAGAACCTTAGCTTGTTCGTGAAGTGAGGTAGCAAATTATTGTTCCTTGATCCGATCCTCCATTCCTTACACAGTATCCACAACACTCAAAAAACTGTTCATAGGAGTTACAGGGCTATGCGAGGTGGTTTTCCTTCTCCTCTAACTATTCTACCTGTCTTGTGTTCTGTATTTACTCCTTTATTTGCAATAATTAAGATACAAATAAACTTCTGAAAAATAAGCAAAGGCAGCCATGATTGCTAAACCTTGATAGCAAATGATAGTTAAATCTAATCCAAAAGCAACTCACATTGTTGTAGTCTTTCCAGCTCCATTTTGGCCAAGGAAAGCGGTGATCTGGTCCTCATAAAAGGTAATGCTCATGCCATCCACTGCTGGCCTAGAGCAACCAGGGAAGATCTTTACTAGGTTCTGGATGCACACACCTGGGACCAGACCAGAAGGTTCGGCTTCAAAGAAGGAGGCTGCTTGAAAGACAAAGATATTTAAAATGAGATAAGCATAGGAGTAAGCTTTGCAGCCACACACATGTTTGTGCAGTGCAATAAGCATGTGTTTCTATTACAACGCACTGTGGTGTTTTAGGATGCCAACAATTCCCCATGGTGGACTCAGAGGCATTCATAACAGCAATGGAGCACCCACATGTGACAATTCTCCATTCTTTCTTCCCTATGTCTTTGTTAACCAGCCACTCCCCACCAGGTGGGCATTCTGCTGGCTTTAAAAAAATGTGTAGTAGCTATACCACAATAATGTTGTAATATTATAGTGATACAGTTACACAGCACTATTTTGAATGTCACTGATGGGACTGGTCTTTTTTCTTAATTCTGATCAAAAGGCTCCCTCTGAAGTAAATGATCCCCCTGAGCAGGGTCATTTCCTGCAGGAGCGCACAGGAGCGGAGCTCCGGCAGCAAAGAGCCCAGAGGGCGGGCACATGCAACAAGCCCCACCCCCTGCTCCCAGCAGCCCTCAGTCAGAGCAAGAAGCAGCCAGGTAAGCTGCAGAGCCCTCCCCACCCCCCCAGTCCAAGACAGTCCTGTAGCACCTTTAAGACCACGTTTTATTCAGGTACAAGCTTCCCTCCTCTGTGAGGGACAGATCTGCACGTTCCCCCCCCCCGCTCCATAGCTAGCCATCCAAAATAGTCCAGTGGAGCCGGAGCGGTGGGTGTTGCCTTCTGACACACTTCCGGTGACGTCAGGGGGTGTGGCATATGCAAATCAGTTAGGCTAATGCGTTATGCTAATGAGCTCCTGCACCTCTTTTTCTGCAAAATGACCCCTGCCCCTGAGCATTTGTGAAGATATACACCAAAGGTATGTAGTCTATTGATTTGCGTTTTTAAAATTACCTCAATATGTGCTTGGGAAGTTTTCCATAATGATTGTTTGTTTACTTAATTCTTCATGCTCCCAGAAGTGTTGTGTTTGAGAGCAGCCAACTCAGTCAGGGTGTGATCCATTCCCCTGCTGGTCCCTTGGCTAGAAGAGTCTGTGACTCTTCCACTCTAACAAAAAAAAATCTTCTTTGAAGAGAAGACCCAAAGAGGAGAATGATCACTGGACTCTGCTGAGTTACATCTCAGCTCACAGCAGTATATGTCAAGCAACAGTGATGGTCGTAACAGATGACCGGTTTTATGGCTCTTGCATAACAAAGACCACTGTCAGCCGTCAAGATCTGTCAGTACCCTGAGAAACCAGGCCCAAACCTGTACTCTGTTCTCAAAAGCTAATGCAAAGCAGCACTGACTCCATTTTCTGATATGAGCTTTTGTTAGATAGGCAGGTCTCTAAATGTAACATTCAAATTTACAGTAAACTCATTTCTGATTTTACCTTTTAAGATTTTTCATATAGGGATCGTGCCCCACGCTTTGTAACCATGTCAGCCAAAAAGTAGCCAGCCTGAAAATGTGTTCTAGTACTTCCCACCAGTCAGTTGGTATGGTGGAGAGTACCTGTGTATGCCCCTTTGGGTACAGTTGGTATGGTGGAGAGTACCTGTGTATGCCCCTTTGGGCAGAGGTGCCTGGGGCCAGGGAGGGCCTTCGCGGGGTTTCCTTGCACTCCCGCCGGCCCTGCAGGTCCACCACCGGGCCCCTCATGGGGCTCGGCAGTGGAGCTGCAAGGCCGGCAGCGGCGGCCAGGACCGTTGGGGGCGGGGGGTGTGGCCTTATGACAGACTTCCGGTGATGTCAGGGGGTGTGGCATATGCTAATGAGTTATGCTAATGAGTTCCCCTAGCTTCTTTTCTACGAAACGACCCCTGCCTTTGGGTATAGATTTGAACCCACTGTTTGAAAAGAACAGACAAGTGAATAAAAACTGTCCTTGTCAAGTTTAGTTTGGCCACAAATTATGCTATTTTTGAATGTGGCTTTTCAGAAATACATCCAGTTCAGTTGTCAACTGAGCTGCCTAAAGATTATAGGTTTGTCAGGTATTTTTCCCAGTAAGAGGCAGGCCAATCCTGGTAGCATTTTCAGAGCTTGCAAGAAACTGGAAGATGAAAAGTGAAATAAGCCATGATAACAAGGTGCTAAGAAGACATTTGCTAAAGTGACCTTTGGTTCTTGGTGGGCTAGTTCTTTTTTGAAGGACCACCCTGCTTTTATTCATTCCAGAATGCATGCATCATCATCTGAGTCTCGAGATGAGCCCCAATGATTTTGGATTTACCTCAAACCATTTAAAGGGATTTTAAAGCTAAGTGTATAGTTTGCTGTCAAAAACAGAAACTCCAACTTTGCAAAAAAGAATGGCACCTGAACCCCAAGTAGGCCTCCTAAAAACATTAAGCTTAAAGAATGGCCACTCCTTAGCCAAAATTACACATGAAGTAGACACTAAAATGACTGCCCTTCAATGCACTGGTAATTTAAATACCAGTTAATCCTCTTAACTTTCCACTCAGGGTCTTATTGAATACTCAGTTTAACCCTCTACAACATTACATGCACTGCAATCAATGCACATAGAGGGGGAGGCAGGCATGCACTCGCTACCCCTGCCTTCATCTATGCACAGCTGCAAGCTCATGAGAATGGAGTCAACATGCATAGGAAAGGGGAGCTCATGCATGTACACTTCCTATGCCCAATAACCCTGATTTGTTGTTATGATTTTGGCAATTAAACTGCACGTAAGGTGAGATTGCACTATGCATGTTCCTCTTAATACATGTGATTGACATTTTTGTGTGAACAGAGCAATGGGTGTATTTTCTAACTTCAGTACACATGACTGGAAACCCAGATGTTTGAGGTCACGTGTTCACATGTACCAAAGCTGGAAATACTCATCCATTGTCCTCTTCACACAAACTAGTGACTGCATATATCGGGCGGATCATGTGTAGTGCAATCTCCACTTAAACGTAGATGGAGCACCAAAATTGTAGACTGATGAACTCTATTCTCATGAGCTAGCAACTGCATGTGGCGATGGAAACACTGTACTAGGGGTGTACATTCAGGTACATCTGGGCTGAAAAAATAGCCAAAAAATACCTTATTGGGATTCTTTGGCTATTCTTTCAGCCAAATATACATTTAACTATCTTTTCAGCTATCCAATATAGCCGAAAATATTTGGGATTTTTCAAGATTGCCAGACAGCCAGTTAAAGGCATTTAAAAGGATCACAGTCCCTTTAAACACCTTCCAGGTGAACTTGTAACTTGGAGAAGGCAAGGGACCGCAAGCCCTTTCAACACCTTCAGAGTGAACGTACAGCTCACAGAAGGTATTTACAGGGACTGTGATCCCTTTAAACATCTTCTTCCATTCATTAGAAACAATGTTTGGGGGCACCTTCTTTGGCAACCCATAAAATTGGACTCCATGGTCCAATCTTTTTGAAACCTGGGGGTTCTTTTGAAGAGAGGCACCAGCAGCTATGTTGCAAATGTGATGCTTCTACCTCAAAAAACAGTCCTCCCAGACCTCCAGATACCCCAGATCAGTTCCCCATTATACCCTATGGGGACCATTATAATAATCTCCATAGGGTATAATGGAGACCAAAAAAAATTTCAGGATTCCTGGAAAATCCCAAATGTGAATATCATATCAATATTGGGATTTGGGAATACTGAGAAATACCAATATTTTTCCGGTCTAGTATACCCGGGTTTTTTTACTTCTTGAATTTTTCTGCAGACACAGGAAGTCTACTGACTATTTAGGAAAAACTGTTGGGGGAGAGTGAGCCCTCTGTTGGCAGAAATAAGTATCCGCACAAACCCACCCCCTGTGGGAATTAGATATATAGATGCCCCCCCCCTCACAAATCTAATTTGGCCCATACACCTTAGTGTTTGGGCTTGGGGGCAGGCTGAGTCTGCAGATGTTTAAAGCAAAATTTAAAATGCTTCAATATTATTACACAATTGTCTTCTGTGAACATAATCAGGTGATTACTAAGAAGTCCATATCCAAGTAAAGCCACATATACACATTTTCTCTACAGTAGCTGGTTAATAGCTACTATCTGTTGATACACAGCTGGTATAATTAACTACAACTAAAAGTGATTAAATATCATCACAGTAATTACTAGCAATAAGTAAACTGTGGAAAATCTTTACCATGCACTAAGGAACACAACTCCCTCCGCAGGCCAAATAATAAGCATTTTCACATCTCTCAGGATTTAATTACTAAGGGAAAAAAACACCCTGGTTTTATTGGTCCCTTATCACTGGGGCTAGTTTTCCCTTGCTCGAAAGCTAGTCAAATCTGACTCTAGGGGGCGGTGCTTATCTCCGTTTCCAAGCCAAAGAGCCAGCGCTGTCTAAAGACATTTCTGTGGTCATGTGGCCGGCATGACTAAATGCCAAGGCGCACAGAATGCTGTTACCTTCCCACTGAAGCGCTACCTATTTATCTACTTGCAATTTCTTGCTTTCTAACTGCTAGGTTGGCAGGAGCTGGGGCCAGAGACAGGAGCTCACTCTGCCACATGGCGCTAGGGTCTTGAACTGCCGAACTACAGACCTTCTGGTCTGCAGCTCAGCATCTTAACCTCTGTGGCCCCTGTCACTGGGGCTACCTGGTCTTATTTGAAATGCCATAGGACTGTACTATGCTTTCTTAGCAATGGCTAACAGCAAATTTATATATTCAGTGGAATCAAAGTATAAAGATTTCCCTGGATTACACCTACTGAAAGTGGGGAAAATGCATTTCCTAGCACATCAGGAAGAACATTCACCCTTCATTTCTTATTTGCATGATTTATTTTATTTTATTTTTTTAGTATGCAGAGACTCTGGCTTGTGAATAAATATTCAAACGTGAGACCTCACACCAGCAGCCTGATGCGACAAAGCCCCGGAAAAAAAGCTTTACCCTGATTATGCTGTCTGGTAAACAGGCCCTCAGATCTCATTCTTGGTGATCACAGAATTATATGTTTTTAAGTCAGCTTTTTAAATGAAAGTCACATACATGAAAAAGTTATATCAAAATGGGTTACCAGTAAGAACTCTTTAAAAAATTGCATGGTGGTCAAACAATAAAGTAACACACCTCTGCCTTGCTACACCTGCTATCAGGCAGACACAATGTAGACAGACATGAATTGACAATGAAAAAGTTGTTTACATTCAAGTGTAGAGCACATAAGAGTCACGATTATATCTCTTTCCTCTCTCCTTACTATTCATTTCAGCTTTGTCTTTTGCCTCTGCTGTAGAGGTCTCCTGTTCACTGGATTCTTTTGTTCTTTTGTGTTTACACTCAGTTTCTTTACCGTTCTTCATCCTCTGACTGTCATCTCCATTGGCAGACTCATCCGGTACACTTCTTCTCGCCTCTTCTTCTGCAGACTTTGTGTGGACACTGCTTTCCTTCTCTGAAGTTTTGTCTAGGTTAATCAAAAGAGAAAAAAAATGGTTTTCATAGCACCTTAGATTAAAAGGTTGGTTCAGACATTACAAAGACTTCGTTTGCAGATCAGGAATGTGGATTGTGCAGATAGCACATTTAAGTCTTCCCCTCCTACACTGTTTCCTTGACCTGAAATGCTCACTGGGACCTGCTATTGGTTCTGTTGAGGATACTGATGGCTACGTATAAGTTTCCCATATCAGTGCATAGCTGCTTCCGGGGGCCATTTCAGGTTTGGAAAATTGGACAGAGGGAAGGTTTAGGCCCTGGCTCCCTGAGTGCTATGCTCACAATATTAATTGGGCTCACATGTGCCAGAGAATTAAGTTGCCATCATGGACTTCTCAAATCCTGTATAGTGACAGTCCTTGCGTCCACCACCTTTGTAATATATGAATCAACCCTAACTTAGACTTTAGGAGCATGAGCTTTCGAAGACGACCAACCACTTTGTTAGACACAACAGTGGCTGAACAATAGCAAGTATAAAAAGGGCAGTTGTTTTGATTTTAAAAGATACTGCCCCAGTGGAATCTTCAGCCTTAAAAAATAATCCTATAATTGATAAAGATGAAAATTACCTGCTTCCTATTGAGAGCTTTATTGGGGAATTCTAATACTTAGAGGTTTAATGCAAAAGATTATTTAGAAGAAGTAGGAGTTGTAGTTTGATTCCTAAACATATAACTTATCTTCTACCCAGTTACATGGGAAAATATTTTCCTGGTTGCTATGATCAACTACTAGCCCCAACTTGTTATTTTTAGATATTTATACCCCACTTTTGTCCCAGTTGGGACCCAAAGTAGATTTCAACATTATCTTTGTCTATTTATTTACTTGTCTATAACTGACTATTTATAATTGGGTTGTATTAAATAGTCCTATTAAAATTGTTCCTCTCTTGGAAAAACAAACAATCTGGCATAATAGTAGGGTTTAAATAGCAACATTTCCTTGGAGGCCATTGGGGGGGAAATGGGCTATCAGAAATGCATGCACCTTAGATTTTAAAGATTTGCTTCACTGGTAAGTTTTTTTTATAATAAAAGACTTGCTATGTCTTTTTATAATACAAAATTTCTTATATGAACTACAAAATGGACAGTATTTAGGGATATGTGCCTCCAAGATTTAAATGCATTATGAGACTTCTCTTCCAGAAGGCTGGGGTTTTTAATGGAGTCATAAGAAAGTTTTGTTCTTAAATTCCAATGATTGTAAGTAAGGCAGGCTTGGGTGACAATATTGAAATATGGATAGTATTCTCTTTACAAAATTGTTTCCTATTTGGCAGAATACTGAATTCATAGTGTACTTACTGCTTCAGTGACCAGGGTGTGTTTTACATTCCTATTAAGACCTTACTTCAGTTTACCACAAAAGATGGTGAAAAGAGGCAGCTGCCTTTGGCTGCAATGACCCAGTCTTCTCTTTCCTTTTAGTTTACTGTTAATGTGCTTACTGACATAGTCCCTGAAAATAAGTTTGCCCACTCTTTCTGCTGTTAAGAATACCATTCATCATCCTGATCATGTTCTCTTTTGCTCAGTATCTTGGCTTCTGCATGTTCGAAGGGGGAAGCAAATCTGAAAGCCTGTCTCTACCAATGAGAGCTGGGTGACAGCAGCTGTCCCTGGGGACATCTTTGCTTGGCTTTGGTGAGGGAGCTCCTGGACTCCTCAGGTGCCTTGTTTGCTCCCTAACAGATCAGCATTAGGTTACTAGCTGCCACAGGCCTTCTTTGCTGACCATTGTGAGAAAGGCCCCCTGAAATGATCCAGTTTTAATCTCTGGTTTCACTGCTAGCTGCTCAGACACTGAAAAACTAAACAAACCAGAGAAATGTCAGCCAGATGGATATGAGAACAACATGAATCAAGTAAATTGCTACATGACAGGGGTGTCAAACATGCGGCCCGGGGGCCAGATCAGGCCCCCAGAGGGCTTCTATCAGGCTCGCACTGGAAAGCATTTTCTGCCTGTCTTATGCTTCTTCTTCCAGTTCTGCTGCTGCTGTGTCACTGTAGGTTTGCAGCTTACAGATACACACCTGAACAGCATAAGATTGCAACAGCACAGACATTTTGATGCAATAATTCAGAGCAAAAGGTGTCAGCTATCAGACACTGTTAAATAAACAAAATATTGCAAGAGTGCTAATGTTTTAAACATGATTTTAAGTTAAAAAAACCCTTTGTGTTTGTGTCCTTTATAAAGTTTATATCTCCACTACCTGGCATTACATTTTATGACACACATGGCCTGGCCCAACAAGGTCTCATTTCTGTCAGTTCCGGCCTTCATGAGTTCGACACCCCTGCTATATGGTATGGGATGAAACTACTGTTAAAAATGGAAGTTCGTATCATTTTTAATCAGGCTTCAGAGAAATACTTCCTCTAAGCTGTGGAGTCTTGTGAGCAAAATTCTACTTTGTGAGCATTAGTCGTGAGCAAGCGACTTGGCTACTGAATTAATTAGTTTGCTCTGGAGCCATCCTTCCTGAGCTAAGACAAAAATGTGTGAGCCAGAGGCTAAAAAACTGTGAGCTAGCTCACACTAACTCAGCTTAGAAGGAACACTACTTCAGAGTATGACTATTTTTTTGCACTCTGGACTAGATGAACTTCTGGACAAAAGCTGAAATGCTTCTATGGATATAGCCACACCAACAAGTCAAGCGTAAGTGATCCCTACCACAGGTTCACAAACCCGGCACCCCATTTTGTTTGGCATTCAGGGCCAGTTCTCCACTGAAGGGGCTGAGGTGAATCCCTGTGGCACAGGCAGTGCCACTGGGACTCACCATGTTCCCAGTGTGTCTGGCGAACTATAATTCCCAACCCTCCCACCCCCATTTGCCAACATACCAACATAATCAAAAGTAGAGACATTGTGGCTTTGGAGACATTTGGACCAAAAACATTGCCTACCCCCATATAATAAAAGGTGTTTGTGCCATCTATTGTATCCCTCCAATTTTCACAAAGCTTTGCCTAAGTCTTTCTCAGAAATTTATAGCCTTGTAGTACCTTTCTGATAGAAGCCAGGAAGAAAAAGGAAAAACGAAAACACGTCAGGAGTAATAACCATCCTCCATCATTCTGAATTCCTCTCACAGTGTGTCCAGTGGGAAAACTGTACTTTCAGCTGAGAACGTAACAAAACCTAAAGCCTTTTCAGATGGAACAATGTTGCTGCCTCTTTTCTCTCTGGCCATAACATGTGTAGACTGGGATGGGGCTGGTGGGGATTAGCTCCCTGCTGGCCTAGAAGTACCTTCATCTGCTGAGAACCAGATACAAACAGCCTGTCGGGGATGATAAAGTATTTCGGTGGTGATGAGTAGAATGGCCATGCAAATAACAGCTTTTCTTTCTTCCCCTGTAACCCCTCCATCTCTGTGGTATAGCAGCCAATTGTTACTGTGGGTTTGTGGGTTGCTGATAAACAGGCCCCCAAAGGGCAGTTTGCTTATGCATCTCTTCCAGACATCGAAACCACCAAATTGGTTTAAAGTTTTTAAAAATACAATGGGGCTGTCTGTCTGGAGGATTTCCTTAATTAAAACTAGTTTTTAAAGCTCCACTCCCTTAATATGTACACATGCACACTAGGGTCAGTTCACCCATCCAAAGTACCTTTCACATGACATGTTCTGTCTGTCCCCAGGAATACAATTGCGAGTGGAAGACATAATGCAGACCGGATAGATGTATCCGTGGATACAGGGACTTCTTGGCAGCCATCACACAGCAGCTCGAAGAGGCACTGCCTCGACTGCTGAAATCACTGCCAGGAAGCGACAACTGGAATAATCTGAAGTACACCAAGCCCTCCATTAATTGTAGGCCTGAGAGTCTGAGAATGGCTTAAGCTGCCTCACAAAGGGAGTTTAAGAGTGTCTGAACCAGGCTACAAGCTATTTGGTGAAAAGTTAATGGACTTACAAATACATTACAGAGGCACATACAAGAACCACAGTATATAGCTGTGAGTTTCAATGGAGAGTTGGGGCTGCTTCAAACTTTATGGTGCCCAGCATTGAAACTGTTTCTATGTAAGGGGGGGGGGAACACAGGAAAACTGCAAGTGTTGGGGATTCATGCTTGAATATGTCTTCCCTGCAGTTACATAGACACGTGTGATTATTTGCCACCAGTTTTCATGCTTTTTCAATGTACAAAATGCTGTATTTACCCAAATGGAAGATAATCCTGAATGCAACACAACCCCCCCTAAAATAATTATACACACACACACAAAAATTATTATGGGTAATTTATATGTGAATGGCACATCGGGGTGTGTGTGTGTGTGAATCTTCTTAAGTGAGTAAACATGGTACCTAACTTTTAAATTTGGCCATGAATGCAACCTCAGCTGCTAGGCTAAAAGCAATAGAATTATATGTCTCTTTTACAAAACTGTCCCTTTCTGAAAGTACGTTATGAGGGGCTCCTGCTCGTCAGTTCTGAAATGTGTAAAATCAGCAAACAGAAGGCAGGATGGCCTGCAGTTGCTGAACAAATGCCTGTACAAAACTGGCAAGAGTGCCCCAGGAATCCAGGATGTTGCCAAGAACTTCTCTGAAAAAGTAGGAAACAGCTGGCTGTACTATTTAGTGTAATGATGGGACCTGTGCATCTTTCAGGCACATGTGTGTGAAGCAGATGGAAGAATATTGCTTCTCTGTTTCAGTTCAGAACTCTGCTGATGAGCTTTGACTCCCAGATGAAAACATGGGACGGCAGCAAGACAGAGCAGTGCCTCCCTATGTATTTATCCTGGCCTGGCAACTAAAGGGGCTCTGGCCCACCTATGAGCAACCAGCTTGAGGCAAAGACATCATTTGCCAACTCTGTAGATTTAATGCAATGGGCCAATGTAGCATGGGGACATCAGAAGACTTTCAGGTTGGGGTGGGAATGGTAAGATCCATCTATCACCTTTCTGTCCTGCCCTTCCTTCAAGAAGCTCACAGGAGTATACATCTTCCTTCCTCCATCTGTCCTCACAAACAATCCCACGGGGCATGTTAAGGTGAGAAAGAGTGACCCAATGAGCTTTACAGCTGAGCAGGGTTTTGAATTGTGTCTTACTGGCCATCTTCCAAAACTCTTATCACTATACCACAATGGCTAGTGAAATATTACCCGATATTGACAGCTACTCTAGTGAAAGCCCAGTTAAGTTCAGAATCATGCTCACTGATTCAGAGGTGAGCCGCATTACATCACAAAAGCCCTTGTTAACTATCTCAAGACACATCAGAAGGGAGAGACATGACTCACAGGCTGCTACTTAAGCGTAATTTAGGAGGATTTCAGACAGAACACTGACTCACTCTCCAACAACAATTTAATAATAGAGGGCCACTCAGAGTTCAAAGCCACCTGCTAAGATTCCCACTGTATGTCTGCATCTAATCTCTTCAATGGCTCCCATAATGAATGCAAGAGTGCATTCACCTCTAAACGGATCAATGGTTCTGAAGTTATTTCCAACCATCAGTTCCCCCAAACAACTCACCCTCAGCAGTTGCTGTTTTCACAGTCTTTTGCCGTCCAGATCCACGCCAGTAAGACAGCTGCAAAGGGAAATACCAAGGCCGTGGTATCCCGTAGTCTCCTAAAACAAAAGCAAGTTGGTAGGGTGCACAAGTTTCTTTGTATTTTGCCATGGGGAAGAACCCATCTATGCAAATCATACACTGCCAACAATTACTTGCCATTTCATTAGCAAGAAACATAGCTGCACATTAGACGTTCTAACAAAGCACAGACATCCAAACTCACTACCCACCACAGACCAGCCTTGGTTCTGAAAAAAATTCAGTCTTGAAAGGAGAAAAGAATATATACATTATCTATGGCTCCTTTGAAGAAACTGCTGTTTTCAAAACTGAATTTCATTAAAGAATTAACCTCTCCTCAGCCTAGAGATGGCTGCAAGCTTTAATAATCTGCAGGATATGTCTCAAAGTGTCTGCCTGAGGCTAACTATGACTGGAGAAATTCCTAGTACTCATTATTAGCTATTATACCATCAGTTGTCCTAATTGCCTTACTACCTTGCATTGCACAACAGAGAGTCTGGATTCCAACTGGAGAATCCTAAACTTAACTTTTATTTCAAAATTCTGCAGACGAAAAAGATGACTGAAGACAAAACACTCCAGATGGTTTAACCATTGCATGGCCCACCACTGCATTCCCACCACTGGTCTTAACCCAGTTCAGCATTACATCAGCAGCAATGCCAACCACAGTTAAGGCAAACAGGGATCCTATTAAACATATTCCTAGTAAGGCAAAGAGTTTCCCTGTTCAGGTTTGCATGAGCTCAGCATCTCATCTAAACTGTGCTGCAACCCACGCAATGTAGTTATGCACACTTCAGTTAGCACACCAGAACTCTCTGGATTTCTCATTTGCAAACAAAGCACACAGAACGGCTTTGCAAGGATTGCTGCACAGTATCAAACAAGATGCTAAGCCCAGGCAAAGAAGCAGCACTACTTTGCTGTCAGGCCTAAAATGTGAAACCAGAATTTCAAATAGGGTTGCCAACCTCTGAGAATAACAACTGATCTCCAGACCGGTGTTCCCTCTAAGCTGAGTTAGTGTGAGCTAGCTCACAGTTTTTTAGCCTCCGGCTCACACATTTTTGCCTTAGCTCAGGAAGGAGGGCTCCAGAGCCAACTAATTTATGCAGTAGCCAAATGGCTCACTCACAACTTTAATGCCAGCAGCTCACAAAGTAGAATTTTTGCTCACAAGACTCCACAGCTTAGAGGGAACATTGCTCCAGACTACAAAGGTCCATTACTCTGGAGAAAATGGCCACGAGGTTGGGCTGTATAGTACTATACCCACTGAGGTTCCTCCCCTCCCAACCCCCCCCCCCAAGGCTCCACTTCCAAAATCTCTACAAATTTCCTAACCTAGAGCCAGCAACCCTAATTGCATCCTTTTAGCCCCATAACAGGCCCTGGAATCCTCTGCAATCCTCATGTATTCCTTGTAACAATATTTATGGAAAATTTCCTCGACAGCAGAAAACCACTAACCTAGCATAATTTGTGAACAAAGACATTTTCCATAGGCTATGTCTCCAAATATAGAATGATCTGTCTGTCTGTCTGTCTGTCTGAGTCTGGGCGAGGGGCAGAGAGTGGATCAGAATAAGCCTGGGCAGCTTTTAACTGGATACACAGAGGGGCAAAGGACTCCGAACTTTCCACAGGAAAGCATCCTGTGGAGTTTCAAGCAGTTGCTCTCTGGGAATCTGATGCAGAACCAGGGCATTTTTTCTGGAAAAAGAGGTGCCAGAACTCTCAAGAAGGAAATGAAGTTATCAATCTGTATACTGAAAACTCATGAACTTTTAAACATTTTAAAAAGAATTTTGTCGAAGAGGTTCTAGAACTCTGTTCCGGCATGTTCCCCCAGGAAAAAAGCCCTGTGCAGAACCATAGGTTTTGCTATCTAATGAAGTGTGTGTTCTGTTTCATTCCACTATGAATTTTCAGCACTCTGTTATCCAAAGGAAATAAAACATAGTGGGTGATTTCCCTCAAGCGCTGCTCCGCGCTCACTCCTCCCTTTTGCCCCGATGGTACGTGTCAATTTCACACAAGCTGCTGCATGGCCACATTTTGCCCCGCAGCTTCGCGCGATTTCCCCCATGTCTACTCAGTCCTCAAAAAACTGTGTGAAATTGACACGTACCGTCGGGGCAAAAGGGAGGAGTGAGCGCAGAGCAGCGCTTATGGGAAATCACCCTTTGGTACTGCTCCTGGGTTCCCTACCATTCAGGGAACATGAATACTGATAGATTTTGTTCCTTATATCAAATTATTTAAATGAACAGCTGTGTATTCTTCTTGGAATACATTTAGGGAAACGGTACCACTGTGAGAACTGATCCCTTTTTGAATCTTATCTATATTTTGGGGTTGGGTTTTTCCCCTTCTGGTTAGTTTAATCACAGGTGATCTCAACGGCTTATTTCTTCCTGGTGGTTTTCTAAACATTGTTTTTTGATATTATGAATCGAGATAATTTTATGAGTACTAGATGTTCATTAGGATTAGGAACATAAGAAGAGCCCTGATAGATCAGACAAAGCGTGCATGGAATCCAGCATCTTGATACTAATAGTCAGGTGTTTCCACAAAGTCCACTAACAGGGCATGAAGCCAACAGCCTTACTCTGTTTGATTGTCAACAACTGGTATATGGGTTTGGGGTTTTTTTTGGCCATAATGTGTATACTTGTATTTCATCTCATTTGCCATTTTGTTGATCATTCACCCAATATGGAGACATCCTGCTGGAAATAACAATATGCTTGGGTTTCTGTTATCCTGAACAATTTGGTATCTTCCACAAATTAAAGTACCTCACTGCTTACCTCTGACTTCACATCATTTGTAAATAAATTAACAGCATGGGTGCCAATACAGATTCTTGGGGAACCTCCACTGTAACTTCATTTCTTTGTGCAAACTGTCTGTTAATTCCTATCTAAGACAACAATTTACAATCAGAGCTGAAAAAAGGCTTATAGCCAAACTAGGAGTTGGAACCAGTGGAGTATTTTCAGAGGTAGAAGGATTCCTATGTGCAGAGCACATAGAGTCTTCCTGTCCTGCTTAGGGTTGCCAAGTGTACTTACCCTTGGAAGCGGGGGAGCCTTGCCGGGCTCTGGGAGCTCTCGCCCGACGATCTGGGCCACGCCCCCAATGTGAGCAACGTGGCTGCGTCGAGGTGACGCAGCTTCGGGGGCGGAGATCCCCCCGGGGCCCGATTCCACCGCGGCAGAAATTGGGCCTCCAAAGTGGGGGTTTCCCCACCCCTGCTTGGCAGCCCTAGTCCTGCTGCAGCTTCAAATGCCCCCCAATGCAGTATTTCTGGGGGCATTTTGGGCTGCTGCAGGAGGGGGAGAACAAAAAGGGTTTATTTCATGGATGGAAATCCATCATGGAGACACTCTGTTGGAGCAAAGCTTGGGTGTGGTTCAGGAACTCTGTGATCAGGATCTGCCTTTTAAAAAAGACAGTTCAAAGGTGCCATCATGAATCAGACCCAGAAAGCAGTATTGGTATGTTTAACCCTTTGCCTCCAGTGATATTTTCCTGACCTAAATCGTCCTCCCCCTAAAAGCTATTTCCACTCAGAGAAATGTACAGGTTGTTGTATGTTTTTCCCAGTAGGTATACATCAGGCTTGAGGGGAGGAAAATTTAGACAGAGGAAACAGTGTGAAGGGAAAGGTTAAACACCCCTTCCACTCTTTTGGTGTTGCTACTCTGACCTGATTTAGGTAATCTGTAATTGCTTTTGACTTTTAAAAAAGGAAGGTTTTGGTTACAGAACTCCCACCTTATGTTTAGTTATGCCCTTAGGGTCCTGTGCTTGTTGCAGAAGCACACACATTCTTCCTTGTTGTGCCCTGTGTGCTTCTAGGTATGGGAATGGGACGTGGTTGCTTTTGCCCCTAACCAAATTATAGCTTGTCACTAGAAGAGAGTCAACCAGGTCAGAGATGAGGACTTCTTATGTAGGTTTGAGCCCTGGCACCTCCAGCACTGCCTGGAAGACAGAAAATAGAGAGGACAGACCAGAACAGGCCAAAACAGGATCTCTCCTCTCCCTGATACAGTCCAGTCACCATCTATTCCTTCCTCCAGGCTGGTTTTGGAAACATCTGTCTCAATGGCAATTACTCCACGAAGTCACATTCACAATTACCCTCAACCAAAAGATCCACATTTACTTCCATCCCTGGAATGAGGCCTGCACCTCCGGGAGGTTCTTTTGGTGGTGGCCATTTCAAAGTGGTAAGCAACTACCGTCTGCAAAGGCCACCAGGCAAAGGCCTTGCCAATTTTCTGAAACAAGGGGCTGGTACCATATTGAGAAGCAGTGCTCAAAAAAGTCACATGTGGCATATCAAAGAGCTACACGTAGCTCCAAAGCCACTGAGTACCACTGACCTATCTGGTTCTAAATTCTGCATGAATGACTTTAATTACTGTGTTATATGCAAAATTAAGATTGTAAAAGAGTGGATCTCTCACACACACCTTGTAATGCTTCTTATGAGTGAAATGAGGACTCTGGTTTATATTAGCAGTTGTCAACACCCCCTTAGGGATGGCTATTATTCTTTACTATTTGATCGGGAGTCCAATAATGTGATCTTTGATATACAGCTTTTTTTGCCATCAAGTCACAGCTGACTTGTGGTGACCCTGTGGGGCAAGAGATGTTCCGAGGTGGTTTACCATGGCCTGCCTGTGTGTAGCAACACTGGTCTTCCATGGTGGTCCCTCATCCAAATACTAGCCAAGGCTGACCCTGTTTAGCTTTTGAGATCTGACAAGATTGGGCTAGCCTGGGCTATCCAGGTAAGGGTAATATAGCATGATTGGGACATATTCTGGTATCAAGAGGCCTACACCTGTTTCCACTGAATTTTAAGTGATGGAATTGCTATATTTAACTTTTCTGAGCTGGAACAGATTTTGAGTAAAAATAAAGGCAAAGCTTGTTCTGCACACAGATACATCTCAGTGTTAAGCGGCATCATTTTTTAAAAAAGCTATCTAAACTGAAAATCAGTAATAACATGTGATTTTTAGTTCTGAAGATAAGATCTTTCATGGTGCTTTGTTTTGACTTTCTAATACACATAATATGTGGCCAGACAAGTTTCTTAAAATGCATGGAAATGCTAGTTTCTCTCCTTCAAACAAACACATTGATTGGAATAAAGTGACCCCTGAAGCCCCGTTTTATGCTCTTCTACACAGCACCAGAGCACAGGTTAAGGGGCTCCCATTCCCAGCATTAGTGGAAAGGGATCTCTGCCAAGATGCAGGGAGTCAGGAAGGCTATGCCCCTTCATAGCATTGCTTCAGTGCACTAGGGAATCCTTTCATTTTATAGCAGCTTGTGGGGAGGGATGCACTACAAATGCATAGGATTGCACTACAAATTTCTCTGTACAATTAAACACTTCCGGCCTAATGATGTTCATGGGATTTAATCCCAACCAATATGCACTGTATTTTTTTATTAGGAGGTGAAAAGTACGATTTGGTGGGCTCTAACTTTACATGTAGTAAGTACTAAGTAGGAACCATGATATTTTCAACCCCAGTTGTCTACCATTTTTGCTACATTTCTGGAGACAAGATTCCCTCCAATAATAACAATAGTTACTGTACTGTGGCTGCCATTCAAAATGGGCAGAGGGAATACCATACCTGGAAAGACGTTATCCAGGTACCAAGTGAACAACCCATAGATAAAAGCATCAAAAAGCATCATCACTATAGAGAGCAAGAAACTGTACTGATCTCCCTCCAGTGGGCTGGTTTGGATGTTATCCCACTGTAGCCCACGACCTTGTTCTTCATAGCGTGACAAGTATTCTGTACCAAACCCAAAAGCCACAGGGGAAAGCAAGCTCTGGAAGAAATGGGGAAATACCATGAATTTACAATGTGGAATACCTTTATGAATTCAGAAAAAACAACAACCTTAGTTCTGAACATAGCCTGTAAATGAATGAAAAGGGGGACACTAATCAACTAGGGATGGATGGATTTCCCAGTTTTCAGCATTCCATTCGACTTGCCTTACAATTTTTTTTGAGAATTTCTATAACGAATTTTGGACTTCATCATGTTCAGCTGCTTCCATTAATTAATGTTAATATTTCCCCCCTCCTTTCAGATAAGCCATCTGTTTGAGCAACTGTTAATATTAAAATGCATTTTTAGATAATAGAAAGCACAGAAATCCCAGCTCTTTACCATTCTTGAAAATTCTTTGCTACAAAATGCAGATGTGTAAAAAAAAAGACTGCCTAGATAGCAGTGTAATTAATGCCAAGAAAAGCCAGTCAAGTTTCACAGTTTTTTACTCTAATCTAGTGTATCCAAGGGTCCATGAAAAGCTGTCTATCCAGTCCCAGCAAGACCCACTTATAACACTACTGGAAGGGATTTACATACCCATAAATCTGTTTAAAAAGCCTCAAGCCATGTGGGAGATAAAATGTTTTCTGTGCATGTGTGAGTAAAATTGCTTTTTCCTTTTCATTTAATTATGTGACCATTGATAGACTGGCTGTAGGCTCTATTTAACTCAGCTTGTTAAAATGCCCAGGAATGCTCACCTGTTCATTTCTATTAAACAAAGTTTCTATCTAAACGATCAAATACAATGGCTAAAAGAATGCTGATGTAATCAGGGGCACAACTACATGGTTAAATAAAATGCAAAAAAATTGCTTGGAAATGTTTATTGTTCATACACAAAATATCTTCTCTCCCATGCACAACAGGGCCATTCTTGTGCAAAAACAGTGATGTGCATCCTAGTACTTCATGCATGAAGCACAGCGTCTTCCTATGTTCCTTTCTGTTCCTGGAGTCCCTTTCAATCCCCTGAAGAGCATTCCCAGGACTGCAGGACCCACTTGGAGGAATAGCTGTGTGTGTGGGGGGGGGGGGGGTGAAGAAGGACAGGAAGTTCTCTCCTGAAAACTGCAACGACACAGGTCAGTTTCATCTGATTGTCCCTCCTCATACCAGCCCACTGCCCCAGATGGCTGTTTCTCTGCCCAGCTGATCATCTGCATGGATCCCACAACCCTGGGAATGATCTTTCCAGGTGCTGCAGTAACAGAGAGGAACACAAGAAAACTCTATGTGCCTTCCGTCTACGGATGGTTGGATACACGCCAATAAAGGAGATTATGAAAAATAAAATAGATTATGCAAATTTGTATAATTTGTATAATTTGTATATGTTTTAAAATCCAGTTTATTACTAGCACAGAATCTGGATTGCCTGGGCACAGAATTTTGACTTCTTTAAAAAGTGCAGTGCCAATGCAGCCTTAGTGATCTTGTGGTGCCACTAGGATTATGAAGATTACAAGCAAGGAAAGAATTAAGCCTCGGATCAACTTTCTTTGCCGGGTGTCAAGTACTCTTCAGCAGATACTTACACATCGAGATTAAAAAAAAAAACCTGGGAATACTGCAAGGATATGAGAAAACATCAAAACGATAAATAGCTAGGGACTGACACAGTCAGAGACTGAGAGAAGATGCCTTAGGTTATAGGCTTCCCAAGAGGGTGGGGGTAAATTTTCTCACCGCAATAATCTTGAGTTTAACAGTCAGCCGGTCCTGCCAGGCGAAGCAGACGATGTGGGGCAAGTACAGCGTGAAGTAGATGACTCCACTGCAGGCAGCTGCCAGATTAGCCTTGGAGAAGAAGGTGCTGAGCAAAAAGCATTGCATGATGCTGGCTGTAGTGAAGGTCATCAGGAACAGGAAGAGAAGGCAGGGATTGCTATAGTGAAGCACTTTACCATACTGGGGGGAGAAAAACAATCAGATAAGAAGAGGTCTGGTTGATCGCTGTCTCCAGTTAAGGGTAGAAGGCAGAGCACTGCTGATCCGTGGCTAACTGTTCCTCACAGTTAGGCATTTGGATTATAGTCAGGGTCTCATCAGACAATATGTTAACTGCAAATTGGCTTGGTGATAAACCCAGCCCATTTCATGTTTAAAATCCCTATGGAGTGACATCACTTCCACGGAAAACCTGGCACGTACCGTTTATTTCTGGCAATGCCACTGTTGGGGGGGGATTAAAACTGAGGGACCCCCCCCCCCCAACTGGGGAACAGCAACCTTAGTTTTGTGGTAATTCCCACGGAGGCCTTGCGTGACTTCCAGGTTTTCCGTGGAAGTGACCTCACTCCATAGTCCCAATAGTGATTTTTAAAATGTTATTTTTCTTCTGCCTCCCGCTCAGAGCTGGGGGTGGGCGATCCTCCATCTCACGGGGGGACAGGCAATCTTACTAATACTGGTTTTGATTGGCTCCAGCAAATCTCACAGGAGCTCTGGACACCAGATACATCGTTCCGTGGAAGTTACCTCACTCCATAGTCCCAATAGTGATTCTTAAAATGTTATTTTTCTTCTGCCTCTCGCTCAGAGCTGGGGGTGGGTGATCCTCCACCTCACGGGGGGACAGGCAATCTTACTAATACTGGTTTTGATTGGCTCCAGAAAATCTCACAAGAGCTCTGGACACTAGATACATCGAAATAAGTTTCTATAAATATCCCCTCAGGCATGATCTATATTTTATCATCAATTTTTTTCCTCATGGTAATGGGGATTGCAGCCAGGACTGCTGCAAGACACTTTTGGATTTTTGGGCCCCAATAAAGTGTACCCTACCCCTACCCCCACCAGGGGGGAGGCTCTGGGCTTCCTTACAATGAGATAGTTGCAGACCA